GCGCCGCCCGCCGCCGCCGCCGCCGCCGCGCCGCTCGCCGCGCTCTTCCAGCACCCGCTGTACCGCGCCGCGCTGCCGCCGCTCGCCGACGCCGACGTGCTCTTCAACGTCAACAGCGACATCAGGTTCAACGCCAAGGCGGCCGAGCAGAGCGAGTGGTGAGTGCCCGCGGCCGCGGTTCGCCCCCGCCTTGCCCGCCCGCCCGAGAAGGGACGGGCCCGGCCGTGAATAAGGCCATGGTTGGGCAGAAATAACTCTGGTGTCAGTGGGGGGTAATAAGGGAAAAATAGAGGAATTTGGCATATCGGTTGTTTTCCTGCAAAGGAAAAGAAGAATAAAATGCAGGAGCGTCAGGAGCGCCTGTCCAGAATGGCCCCGGGATCCCGTCTGCAGCTGTAGCTGCTGCAGATGCTCAGGGAAAAGCAGTGTTGGAAGGAGAGCAAACACGCAGTAATCCTTCCCCTAGCACAGACTCCAGCGTCCCACGACAAGGTGAAGAGGCCAAGCAGGGAGCAATGAGCCCTGGTGACAAATGTACCAACTTTTCCCCAAGCAGGGCTAATGCCAGGGGCTAATGTCATTGGGGCAGTCATTCATCCCAGCAGGTATATCCACCTTAAGGATCTCATTTGTGGTAGCTTTTTTTTCATACTAAATGAATCTCCCATGTCCTAACACCTCTGCTTCCAGCTAACTTGGAAAGCAGCTCCTTGTCACTGTGAATCGTTTGCCTTCTTGGCTCGGAAGAAATGCTTGGAAATTTCAATGACTGCAAAATCAAAAGGCTTGTCTAATACAACAGCACCCTCTTTCAAACACAGTGACATTGTAGTGTTTAAACAGCTGCAGTGAACAGCGCAAGAGCCCTGCGAGCGGCGGAGCAACCAGCACCGGCTGAGCCTTGCGAAACGGGGCATAAATATTGCTCGTTTCTGCCGCAGGACCTCACAAATCGTCCAGGCCCTTTACAGCTAATGATCAAAACCGACTGTGGTGTGAAACAACCTGAGAAAGCCCCAATTTCTCTGAGAGAAAGGAAAAAATAAATGTCACAAATGTATGAACATCTGGAGATGGCTAAAAGCCTCTTGTGCTCCTGGGCTGCAGATAGGTAGTAGTGGAACAAAGAGGTTAAGAGTCCGATTTTCAGATGTCCACGATGGAGCTGCACTTGGGCATTAGTGATTTCCTTAGCGATCACATCCAAAGTTTGCAGAACTAACTTGAAATTTAGGAGTTAACAGTAATTTAAACAGTTCTCTCCTGTAGCAGTAGCTGGCTGCTCAGGAAGGGGAAACACAGTTATTCTTTAGCAGCTAGTTCAAAGCGATCTGGTTTCTTCCCATTCTCTGCAACTGTGTTTAAGTACGGGAAGAGGAAGAGCGAGAGGGAGCAGCCAGTTCAAATTACAGCTGCCTCATCCATGGCCAGAACGAGCTCAGTGCTAACCAGAAGTTCAGGAGGATGCTTTCATTTCTGTCAAGCTAGGGAAAGAGGTCCCAACCTAATATAATCTAAACACAATATAAAACGTGGAGCTCTGCGTTTCTACTATATAAGGGCCTCCTCTCCCTCTGGGTGATGTCACTCGGAGTTTGGCTCCTGACTTTCATGGGCTTTAAATCAGGCATGAAGCGTGGAGGTGAAAATCCTGCTGCCTTGGAGGCAGATCCCGGCCCGTGGGTCACAGGCTGGCACTGGGACTGACTGGTCTTCTTTCTGCCTTGATGCATTTTGAAGCCCTGTTTCTTAATGCCTGTTATGAATTGTAAAAAATATTTCTTTCTACTCATTTTGGATTTTGTGTTTTTTTGATGGTAGGCAAAATGAAGAAAATGAAGAATTTTTGCCAACCGGAGAAACCTCCATAGACTCCTACCCAAACTGGTTAAAATTCCACATTGGCATTAATCGGTACGAGCTGTATTCCAGACATAATCCTGCAATTGAGGCTTTGCTACAAGACCTGGTCTCCCAAAAGATAACCAGTGTTGGTATGTTTGGCTGTGTATCATATTTATAATTCTTTGCTCGTTCAGGATCTCCTTGCTGTTTTCATATTAATGAACCTTTTGCATGGCTTCCCTCCGATGTGCCTAGAACACTGCTTCCTGCCTGCACTTATTTTCAGTGTTAAATATAAAAGTGTTTCCCTCTCTTTTAAGAGATATTGCCAGCTCTGCATTACCTGCATAATGGAAAAGTCTGCCAGCGAGGCAAAATCCATTCATTTCAGCGGTCTTACAGTCACAGTCAGATTGCAAGTGTTTGATTATTTTTTAAAAAATAGACCAATACAAAAAAAAAGGCAGATGAAGGCAGGTAGCATCTTGCCAGAGGTAGCTTTGCAATATTATCTGATTATTCTCTAAAAGCGCCAGCCTGGCAGGGTTTCACAGGCAGGAGAGTGGAGGCAACGCAGCAGCCCTGCGGGAATGGCTGCGAGGAGGGGGCTCTGGAGCTGGGAGCTCTTCTCTGGAGCTGGCCCGTGACAGTCGGTGTCTCCTCGGATTTAGCCGTGTATGTGTTGCCACCTCCGGATGAGGTCACCAGGTCTTTAGCCCTGCAAGGAAAAAAATCCTCCGTGGCTTCAGCAGGAAACGGCCCATACGAGAATAGCCCAAGTAGGCCCCAGGTTGACATTTTGCACCATGTGAGTCACACTGGCTGCCGGGCAGGCCTAGGAATAAGCACCATCCTAGGTCAGAAAGCGGGAATTGATGTAGCCAGTCAGGAAAGGGCAGTGCTGAGATTCAGAGATGGGATGGGCACTTACACAGAAGACAGAAACAGCTTCGTTATTAACTGGTTTTCTGTACCACAGCACTGGATGGGGATGGCTGGTCAAAGAGCTCAGGTTTGAAGGCTAAGCCCAGGGAACTGTTGGGGTTCAGGTGGGACGCGATGCTGTGACACCCTTCCTGGAGACACTGCTTCTTGACACAGGCTTCCCTTTCCTCACCTCTTTGCCCATATCATGCCATTTCATCAGGTTTCTCGCCAGGATTTTTCTCCTTTCTTTGTCACATGTTGCTTAACCTCTCTCTCTGCTTCGGATCAGCCAGCAGCAAAATTGTTGTAATGAAGAACAGGAGCAAAGCCCTGACCCTCTTGACGTAAGGGGAAGCTTTGCCGTTTGCTCCCCTGGGGCCATGATTTCACCTCGTGTGTCACATCACTGGCTTGAGAGGCTTTCATTAATGATGGTCTGGAGGGAGCTTTGGGTCCAGCGTGGCAGAAGGGCAATCACCCCACAGGGGGAGATGGGTGATGCTGTAAACTTGTTCCTATGGGGCCATCTCGCTTTAATATCTGAAAAAGGCTCTGCAGAGCCACGTTAGGACTTCCTAGATCCTCGCACCAAAATATGGAGCCAGCGTTTCTGTCCATGGGTCAGTCCCATCCCCACAGCATCGGAGAGGCACGTCCTGGTCCTCTGCAGAGGAGCGCAGCCGCTGTGCGGATCAGCAGGTGCTGAGTGTGAGACATTAACCACAGCTCTGCAAAGCCGGGCTTTTAGGGACTGAAAGGGAGTTTTTTGCCTATGTGAAAACAGCAGGATCTGAATTTTGCTAGTAGCGTCCGCAGCCCTCCTCGGTGAGCAGGGAGTTCCAGACAGGTTGCAAAGTGAGGAGAAGTATGTCATTAATATACTTGTATTATTGACTGTTATTATTATTAAACATTATTAAACAGTGCAGCATGCCTTACTTCATGTTGCAAATTCTCCACGTGTTTTAAAAAAGTACATTTTAAAGCCATGCTTGCCATTTTCAGCTTTACTGCAGCGTCGCAGCAGGGGTGGCAAGGCATGTACGCTGGTTAATGTAGGTTAAGGTATTTGAACAAAGGCTCTTTATAGGGCTGTTACATTCTTTGTCATATTCCTGCATATTTTCCAAATTGCCTGTTGTTTTTTTTTTTTTTTTTCTTGTGGGCAATTTATGCTGTTTTACCTTTTGTTCTGCTTTTTTTTTAAGGCATCTGCAGAGATACCAGGCTGCAAATGCAAAATAAATGGAAATCTTCATAATGCCCTGTCTTCAGGCTTCTTTTTACAGACAGGATAATTAAAGATACAGGTTTACATGCATTAGATGAAAACTGGGATGTTGCTCTACCCCGTCTTTTCCCAGTGTTTAAATTGGGTTTGTCTCTAATAGAATTAGGTGATTTGATATGCAGGTTTTGATACCTCCCGTAATTAAATCCAATGTGCAGCTAAACAGCTTTCTTAGCCACACTGTAATTTCTCTGCTCAACTCGCATTATTTATGGAGGTGAGCGGTGACCAGCTTGATCCTGCACCATCTATCAAAACCACTCGCGTGACTCTGTAACGTGTGGTGTTATTTTAAAATGAAAATGGTGACAGAAGCAATTCCCAAGAGCAGGGAACACCAAGGTGACATTTTCTTGATGTTAAAGTTTAAGTGGAACAAATCCACGGATGGGAAAGAGCATCACATTCAGCTCCCACAGTGACACCTAGAGCTGGCCTTGAAAAGGACAGGGTTAAGGAGAGCTTTCAAGCTTAGGATGTATTTTGCACCCTGCATCGATGTATATATTTCCTATTCATTTGCTTCAAAGTAATGGGGTAGCTCTTAATTCAGTGAAAATTTCCTACTGACACAAATGGGAGCCTAGGGAGGATTGCTCTCCACCATGAACCCTATTTTCAGAAAAACAAACAAACAAGCCAAACACAAGTTCACAAGGCAATCACACGCTTCTTTTGCCTTTCCTAACTGTTTGTGGCATGCAAAAATAACCACAGCTAGCTATTTCCTTCCCTATTTCCAAACTGCCCATGCATAATCGTGGCAGCACTCTGAGCAGTGTGACAGCAAACGTGGCATGGTGCATTGTGGAGACACCAGCTTAGAAAGTGTGGTCCTGACCGGCTGGTATTGCTGTCCCGAGAAGCTGGGCTGTGGGATTCTGTGTGAGCGGGATAGGGTTATGTGATGTCTGCATCTGAAGGGGTCCTGTTTTTTTGATTCTTTTAATTCTCCAGTTGGAAAGGTTTGGAAACATTACCTGACTCTGTTCATTTCTGAAAGCGGCAGTGCCTTCAGTTTGTGTAGGCAATAATTAGAAAGCCAGCGCACGAAATTACTCATGCAGTGAATAAATGCTGTAATTAACTAGGGTGGACTCTGCTTAAATTGAGAGAAGAGAAAAGCAAGAGAAAAAGAAAAAGGCAAGATGCTGAATATTGAACTTAAATTCTGTTGCTACAGGAAATTTAAAAATCTCAACTGAAGGAAAGGAAAAAATGCTGTTGAGAATATGTGGAAAAAGAAATGATGAAATGTGGCACCATTGATTTACTGTATAAGAAAACAGTAAATCTATCAAGAGTCAACAGATTGATTAAATGTACAGTTCCAGATGAAAGGAGCAGGCCTAAGATGTGTAACAAAACCTTTGAATGGTTTCACACATCTTTTCCCCTCCTAGTAAAAAAAAAAGTCTTTCCTTATCTTGACTAAACCAAGAAAGGCCTTTAAAAATAAGTTAGCAGAATTGGATGAGCAAGAAGAAGTTAAGAGAGAATGAGGGCTTGAATTTGTTTAGAAACAGGTTCTTCCTGGCTTGTTAGGGGCCATGTCTCTAGCCTGGGGCAGAATAATACTCTTTAAAGTCAATCACCATGTTTATGCTGGATATAAGCTTGGTCTGTAAGCAGGAACCCAAGGTGGATCTGAACTTCATCTATTTCAGATGTTACTGCATTCCTGACTTGAACTGGCTCTCAGCTCTCAGGTGTTAGCACTGCATGAATATATTTAACAATGTGTTTGTATATCTGACCATAAAAGGTTCAAAGATGCCACTGAGACCTTCTTGCTTGAATGGGTCTGGTGATGCAAAGCCAGATCCATTCAAATTCTCAGTCCTTTAAGGTCAAACCCTATGGCGTACAATTAAACTAAGATGCCTGAGGGGCAATGAGCAGCCCCTTTTTTTTTTATATTGCATGCAGTCTGTGGACCAGGTCTTGTACTGGATGTAGTTTCAGGAACAATTTGGAGAGGACAAGATGATGGGCTCTTGCCATTTGGCTATAATGGCCAGAGAGAAATGTTCAGCTCAGGCACAGCAGAAAGTAGGGATGCAGATGTAACACTAAGCGATAAGGAAAGTTGCCTGACCTAGGAGTCCAAGAGAACCATCTTCACGTGGCCATGAGACCTTTCTTCTCCAGCGTTGTCTCTCTGGCATGTGGCTGACCTGGTGGTATCTACACATATGACACCATGGGGAGCCAGCATGGACCTCCTGAGCGCTGTTGTCCCACGGTGCTTGGGGCTGCCCTGCAGCTGAGCACAACATGAGGCCATTCCCACAATGTTTTGGGGAGGCCGGGCATCTGCACGCGGCAGTGACATGGGTACCACACGCCAGCAGTACTTGTGTTCAGCTGAGCCCACTCTTGCAACCAATTAAGGCAATACAATAGGAGGGATCCAAATAGACCAGGGGAGGTGCTTTTGTCTTCCTTCAACTCAATTCTTTCTGAAGGAATCCAGGCCTTTGTGTCTCAGGAAAGAATTATTCTAAAGAATTATTCTGAATCGTTAATCCCCTGCATACATTCCCCTTCTTGGTGATGACATGCTCATTGTTGAGGGGGGCTGCTAACAAAATCATTATCTGGCAAGTGGCTTCTATTTGCTGAGAAACAAATTAAACACAGTGCATTCAAAATTGCGTGCTTGGAAGACGGTTTGGTGGAGCATCCCCTGCTCTCCTCCTTTGCTTTATGGTGGTTTTCCAGAGCCTTGGTTGCCTGGCCATATCCCCAAGCAGAGTCTAGTCCTCTCCCGTCTGATGGGCCAATTCCCTTGGATTTATGTGTTTCAGAGAAAAGAGCTCTAAGCCCCAAGCTCCTGGGCACTGAATGTGAATGTGCAATTTATGTACATTTTAGATCAGAAAAGTTAGAGCTTCAGTTGATGTGAGCAGCTATGCTAAAGTCAGCGGTGCTAAGGAGAGATTCGTGTCCAAAAGGATGCAGTTCTGCCCTTCATTCCCACACCTGCAGATCAACTGACCAAATACACATGAGGGGGAATTTAATAGATGAAATCCATGTGCTTTTAATTTACCTGTTCAGTGCAAGTTATTTAACACTCCTTAATTTCTAATTATTTATTTGTTCCTTTGGGATAAACTGGTAATGCAAGAGAACGTAGAGGTCAGCAAAATGGTGAGGCAGGAGGGACTTCATTCTAGATGAAGTGTAATTAAACTGACTAGATTTGCATAGTGTTTTGTTCCAAAAATATAGATTACAAATGCTCAAAGAGAGTTGGTGACCTATCAATAGGAAGGCACAGAGAGGGGTAATTAAAAGGATGTGCAGGAACTGGCCTTGGTTAAGGACAGAAAATGTGCAAGGTAGATAGGTAGAATTAGGGTGGCTCTAAACCCAAAGGTTGCTTGACATTCATGTAGTTCTGCAAAGGTTTTGTCAGAAGAGTAAAGCAGCAACATATCGATTATCTGATTATTTGGAGGAAGGATTTCTAAAAGACTGACTTACCTACACTGATAAAAATACAATGGTCAGCCACTCCAAATGCTGATTTGAATTAAAGATCAGGAATTTTTATTTATTCTGAGGAGTTTTGATTAAGATGATGAAAAAGCAGCTGGTTTGCTAACACATATATATTTACCTTTCTTAAATAATCTTATCATCAAGAAAAGTGTGTTTTAGAAGGTCATATAAAAAAAGTCACTAACCTTAAAAACACTATAATGTGACTGTTAACATAACATTGTCCAAACTGTATAAATTGGTATGAGTAAAAGTTGATCTTAAATTCCTGTTTGCTATTTTGGAGGAAGTGAGAGCATTTAATGTTCGAGTAAAGCTGGCGCTCAGTGCATAATGTGGACAAGCATCCCTCCTGCCTCTGCTTATCATTTCCATACTCCCAGGAAAGGCCTCTTTGCATGGTTCTGGCCCAATGTACAAACCTATTTGGGATCCCCTGAAGTTAATGGGTGGCCTTCAATGCATACTGTGAGCAGAGATGAATTGACATTTATTTATGGCTCAGCAGCAACTGTTAACATGATGGCAGAGATCTGGAAGCACTAGAGTATCTGGTCATACGTTTAATTAAGCAGATGTTTGCTGTGCACCAAATTGCACCTCCCAGCCTCAGTTGTCTTCTAAGGCATCCCATCTTCTTTTCTAGAGTCTGCCCCTTGTTACTAAGTCCAAAGTCCAAAAGACTGAAGAAGCCCCAAAAAGACTGAAGAAAAGAAAACAAGGCTTTAATGATCTATTCTTATTTATGTTGTGCACTTAGGATGCTTGTGGGGCTCATAATGGGGAGCAATGGAAAAGACAATTGAAAGGTCTATTGGAAAAGGCAAAGACAAGGAGTACAATCCCTGTCTAGTCAAGGCGAGTAGCTCAGTGCCCTGCCCCACATGCTATCCCCTCTAAATAATTTGTCATCCAGTTAGGAGCTTGCTGCTCAGACACCACAGTGATGATACAAATAAAGAGCAAAAGATAGACTTTTTCATTCCCAGAAAGCTGAATGTAAGTAGACCCATATGTAGTATGTTAAAAGTGGCCTCATTTTTTCCCCGCAGCGATGAAATCAGGAGGCACGCAGCTGAAGCTGATCATGACATTCCAGAATTACGGACAAGCACTGTTTAAACCCATGAAGTAAGTAAAGAATGTTTGGACGTTTTCTAAATGTGAATTTGTGGTGCAATAGCCTGTTGCAATTTTGAAAAGTTTTAAAAGTGTGTTGCTAATATCTCTCAAGGTGAGGGTACCTAGTTCTTGTGGCTTGCAACTCATGGGGAACTCCAGGAGTGTGCAGAAATGTTGTCCTGCTAGAGTGGTTTTTGGAGCAGTTACAAAGAAGGCACCAGATACCTTATAGTCTTCTCAGAGGTGAAAGCCTCCATCATACAGATTTTTCAGCATTTCCCCCTTTTTTTTAATGGAAATTTATTCTGTAGTCCTGAGCATTATACAATGTAGGTTCTCTTTAGGAGTATGGCCAGACACAAGAGATGGTTCAGCATAGCTTTGGGAAGAGCTAAATATTATTTGTCTGATAAATTATAATTTAATCCATTGATTTATTATTTTTTGTGTTGAAGGGTTGTATTAGTCATTTGGCTGTGACTATGCTGAAGCCATGAAAAATTCTATCTGGGAGTGGTACTGCAAGGTCATGAAACTAGAGTGAAGGGGAAGGACTAGGAAGATACAGCCTTGATTTGCACCTGTATCATTCTGACAAGAACCACTGAGAATGGTGAAGTTATTTAGGTATAAAGCAGATGTAAATGAGTTCTGAATCCTGCCCTGTGTGTTTGTGTTGTAATAAGGCAAATGATTCTGCAGTTGTTATAGATGGTTTAGCAAAGTCGCTTGGGGCTGCAAAGTGTTTAATGAAGCTACTCAATATCTGTGTCAAGGGTATCACTGAAATAATAAATTCATTTCCTTTCTTTGTTTCCACTGTAGGGAAGTTCAGTTAATTTCCTTTAGGATGGTCCATAAAAGACTAAAGTAACTGAGAATGACTGATTTGGAATATGTGTTATAGCTATAGCATGGCTTGGGGAGTAAGCTGCAGGCTGGGGGCTGAACATAAACTCCCTATTTTACTACAGATTTTACTGTAGACTGACCTCAGACAAATACAGATGCAAATTTGATGTGTTTAAGCTCCATTCCTAACTGCATCCTGTCCCATACAGGAATGAAGAACCTGACAGTTCTAGCTGCATTTACACATTAGGTAGAATGGTGATAGCACGGTGTTGGATTTTTGCATAGAGTATGAATTGTTTCTTTTCCATTTATGGAGATGCAGATATTTTCAATCTTTATCATTGTATGACATTGTAATTCCAGGAATACTAATGAGGTCAAATCAAAAGTTTGCTGTTTCTACTATACTACGTGCAGCCTTGGCAAGATGATGGATGACAATAGATGTAGAGCCACTTTCCTATACAGAAGCAATTACTACCCTCCACCAGAACAATAGCAGAAAATGATGATGTCTTAATCATTCCTTCTGCTTGATTCCAAGGGCAACAGCATCCTATTTTTCTCACTGATCTTGGCATTAAATGCACATCTGGAAAAAGAAGCATTACAGCCATCTGCAGCTGTGCTCCCAGGCACCGCACCTTGCAGTGGCAACACTGCTGCGTTTGTGCTGAGTGTTGCTGAACACATTACTGATTTTAAATAAGGGTGTTTGCAAGCATTTGTCTTCATTCTGATAACAGTGATAAGGAAGCCAGCTGCTCTGCTGGTGTAAATCATCCTCGCTCCTTTGGCATCTGGTCCCACTGGCCTCTTTCGCCAGCTTGTGGACTGCTGTGGATGAAGTTTTTAGAGCAGTTTGCAGCATGATTTCTTGTTGTGGAAACAAGAAGCCTAGAACAGGAAAAAAACTAAAGAAAACAAAACAAATAAACAAATAAAAAAGGGCTACTGGAGCCACAGGACTTCATGTGTGTCCACACGATGTGTCCTGTGTGTTTCTGCATGTTGTGAGCAGGTTATCAGCTCCATGGCTAGAAATGCACGCCACAAAAGACCCTAAAACAAGCAAGACCCCAGTTCTGGAGTTATACAAAGGACTGTACAGAAGTGGGATGCCCTTTCCCAGCAGGAGGAGTTAAGCTTTTCTCTCTCCCGAGCTGATAGCCCTCTTCTTAAAACCAGCCTTTTGATTGCATGTGAACGATATGAAACCTGTTTGGGCTATCCATAGCTATACATGGTGCCTTTCAAACTGGACTGATACCCATTCAGGCAGGACTGCGGCAGGTCGGAGTGACCACGGGAATGCTTCCCTGACCCAGCTGGTTGTCTGCAAGAAAATGGGAGAGTTCTCCCGAACTTCAGCAGTGATTTCTCTAGTAAAGTCTCCACAAAATAACCTCGATGGCAAGTTGTTTTAAGCCCTGCAGAACTATTCGGGCTGGTTTTGTGGTTCTACAAGCTTCTAGATTCATGCTGAGTTAGGGCAGAAAACAAGCTGACTCCAGAAAGGCTCCCTCAGACCAGGCAGTATTTGGAGGCGGGGAAAGTAGAAAATACTCTTGGCACCTTTCGTGTTCTGTGCTTCGCATTAACTGACAGCTCTTCATCTGGTCACTGAGTCAGGGCAGTGGAGTAAATCAGAGAAGAGAAGCTTAGCAGTCAGGGAAATGTGATAGTTGTAAATAAAGCCCCATCAGCTGCAATTATTTTATTTATCTGTGGCTCTACATCTTCATTTCTGGAATAATTGCCCATAAAGTATTGCAGTGGAAGCCAAATCTATCTATAAACCCTTTGGCCCAGTGTTGATTCCATTGCTAATTCCAAATGCATAGAAAAAGCAAGTATTTACTAAAACTCCAGGGAAGATTCAATGTATTTGCAATGTATTTTACAGTTAATGTGTAGTTTTATTTAGCTCATAACAGTTCAATCATACAAAATTGTTGCCATATGGGACATGAAAAAATAGCAGCCTTCCCTTTCTCCATTATTAGTGTGTCTAACTGTATTTGTATTGTAGAGCATAATAAAATATATTTACATGGTTGCTGGTATCTCCAGCCACGACTTTCTGTATGAGTTAGCAGATAGAGATGGTGTAGAGTCATAAATTTCCAAGGGCTTTGCTTTATTTGTCCGAAATGAACATGTGCTTTCTGCTTTGTAATTTTGTCCTTTCTTTGTTTCTGCTAGCTGGTAGAGTTAAATAGCTGGCTCAGCAACAAAACCAACACACTTTCTTTTCCCTCCCAAGGCTTTGTTCTTGAAGCAGGAGATTCTGCTCTGGCAGCAGCAGTGTTAGGCTTCCTATTGCCTGCCCTAGTGCAAGGATTTGCACAGAGATTTTTTACAGTTCCTTATGCAAAAGCCAAATAGAATCAAATAGAAAATGGTATCTTGCTGTATGGGCTGTGAACTGATAGTATATGTTTAAGAATGATCTCTCTCATTCGCAGTTGTATAGGCTGCTTTGTAGAAATGTGTGGAAAGGGTATTCATTATAAAATCTTTGAGGTTTATTTATTTCATTCAAAGCGATGCTATTGCATCCAATGAACTCCCTTTTGACTTAAACTGAGATAAAAGCCAGTTCTGTTCCAGACTTAAGATTTTGCATCTGATATTTTTAGCATCCTTTTTCTTTTCTCATTCTATTTTTACAAGTCGCAATACATGCCTGATAAGAGCCACGTGGCTGTTTCTTTCAGCAGCTGAAGCCTGCAGTTACACTGAGATAAAGAACCCATTGGTGTCAGGGTGATTTCAGGCCAGAAGGGACTTTGGGGTCACAAAATGCAGTATCCTTGAATTACCGATGATTGTCTTGTGACATCCCACTCCCAAATTGCTCAAACACTGCAAGCAAAGACTGCAGCTTTTGTCCCTGCTCTCTGCATCCAACTCATTGCTGTAGAAATAATGCTGCTCATTGGTGTCTTGCACTTTCACAGTTAGTTATTTGTAGCAAATTAACAGTTTGACCAAAGAGCTTTTGTCTCTTGGACTTTGTCTTTATGGAAGGGCATCATGCTAGAGATGTTTTACCCGTGTGTTAATTAACAGTGTGCACTTCTGCCTTGCAACCCTCAAAGGCCCAACTCATCCCAGGGACAACTGCAGAAGAAGGTGGTTGTCCCTGTGAAGCACAAAGCTAGTGCTCAAAGATATAAAATAGCATATTCACCTTTTAGCTTCTGTGAAGTTCCTATAACATATCTTTTAGCTTGAAACAAAGACATAGCAGGCTGGGCTGAAGTCTAGCAACTGAAGTCCTGGGGCAGATTATATTTTTGTTTTGATTGGTGACATGTTGCTTCTTACTGACTTCTAGATGTCATACTTATAGGGACAAAGGATTAGCAATGCTCTTTAAATTTCTCTTTGATTTCCTTTTGGGATTGCTCAAAAAATAATGCATCTTTTGATAGTGATATTAATTAGCACAAACAACCCTTATAATACAAACAACTGTTAATCGCTTTCATGTCCTCCAGTTATGTTCCATTTCTGAAGTTGCAGTGTGACTGTTGTACCTGCGAAATGCAGCCTCCAGGCCTGATTAGCATATCAATTAGACTGGAGTAATTCTTCCAACTTCAGTAGCATTACTTCCTATTCAAAGGTGTTTAAATGAACTTCAGAATCAGGATCATGGGAAGATTGGCTTCCTTATTACACTGCATATCATGCTGTTTTGAGGAAATACATTTTGCAAACCTGTTGCATTTCATCTGGCAGGCATCCAGTATAAACATACCGTTATAAGTCAACATAGCAATTAAATCAAATTGCAATTTTTTTTTCCCAAACAGTAGCAGAAGTGAGATATGCATACAGTAGCTGCTATTCTAGAAGCCTGTGCGGATTAGCACTTCAGCACGCTGGAATGAGTTGCATAAAACCCTACTGAGCAATCCCCGGCCAAAGTACAAACACAACCACTCTGCTTTGTCAATCAACTTAGGCAATTTTACTGTACTTGTCGCTGAAGAAATCTAGTCCTGTGCAAGGTGTATTGCTGGAGACGTTGGGCTGAATAAACTGACAGGAAAGGCTGAAGCTAGGAATGCCATTATTCAGCTTATTTAGGTTTGTTTTGAGATAGAGGGGAATGTGGTCTCATTAGAGCATGAAGAAGAAAT